CGAATCTCCGTACTCGTCCGTTTCCTCTGCGTCACTCTCTTGCCCCTTGCACACACCCCCGATGCATGAACGAAACGCCTGTAGAATGGATAGAATATAACGTCTCCGCGTGTCTCTCTTCCTTCGTCCTGTTCCCGCGAACATTTCGCGCGAATCTCTGTCGAAGTTCGCACGGGGATTCGGGACGGGAGAACAGCCTCGCGAGTCGCTGCCGAATTTATTCGCGATTGTTTGCCTAGGTATTACGCGTCGTTTCAGCAACTTGCCCTCGTTTACCTCGGTGTTTCATTTGGGTTTGCTCTGCAGGCTGTTCCGTCGTGTAATTGAATTGTAGTAATATTCATTTCGTGTGGGTTCGTTCTGCCTCTTCGATCCTACCATTTTTTGAATAATGCTTGACTTGTACTACTGACGTGTGCCACCTTGTATCGGTAACACCGTGTGGAGAATTGTTTCTTTTTAATTTACAATTTCTTCCTTTTGGGAGAGGTTAATTCTGCTGTTTATTTCTCTTCGATCCTACCATTGTCTGATTAATGCTTGACTTGTACTACTGACGTGTGTTACTTATAAAATTAACACCGTGTGGAGACTTTTTCTTTTTAATTTACAATTTCTTCCTTTGGCCGAGGTTAATTCTGTTCTTCGTTTCTCTTCGATTTTACCCGTGTCTGATTAATGCTTGACTTGTACTACTTGTATCAGTAACACCATGTGGAGAATTCTTTTTTTTTATTCATAGGTTGTTGTATAATTATTGTCTGGTTAAATAGTAACTAATTGTTGATAATACATTTATTTATAATTTTTTCTTTGAGAGGGGTTGATTCTGTTCTTCGTTTCTCTTCGATTTTACCATTGTCTGATTAATGCTTGACTCGTACTACTGAGATGTACTATTTGTACCAGTAATACCATGTTAAAAATTTTTTTTTTCAATTCGTAGGTTGTTAATTGGTTATCATTTGGTTAAATAACAACTAATTGTTGTTAATACGTTTATTTATAATTAATTTCACGCTACGTATGAATCGACGTACACAGGAATGTCTGATCAGGCGGTGGATAGCAGGAATCAAAGCAAAGCTCGTTTCAATAATTAATAACGCTTTGTTTCCTGTAACTGCGTTGCCTAGGCTCTCTCTACGTGGCTGGCGTTAGATCAGCCGTAGCGATAATGCATAGCACCGAGAGCTGCTATACTTCCACGACGAACCTTTGTGGTCTTGCCGGCGCTTTGCGAGACTCGTGGCGTAACTGCGTGCAGTTATTGTTATTGCCTCGTCTGCGAAAGCAATCCGGTCTATACACACGTATCCACCTACATATATGTACGTATCCTGTCTCTTTAAAAGCTTGTTCTGTTTATTTCGGAAAATTTCATCGACAGAAGTAATACGAGATAAAATTTCACAAAATTGAAACACATCCGCCGAACAGACGTTGGTAAAGGGCGGAATTTATCCATTCGACACATTTCCCAACGAGATCAATACGTGTCTCTTTCGGTCCACTTTCCTCCTCTCGTCCGTTGTAATATCCGCAAACAGTTTTTTCCAAAGGTAGCTAATGACTTTTTTTCTCCTCTGATCAGAAGGGAAAAGACGCGATAATTCGCGCAACAGCGCGCCGCAAAAATTGGAACGTAACGATTTTATTGATGCCTCAAACGAAAACGTACCACGCTGAACGTGTACGGTTTGCTTTTTTAAATTCGAACGAACGTCCACTCTCTCTCACGCTGTTTCTCACTTTTTCTCGTTTTTCAACCTCCCCCCTTGCGAGCATAGGTATAAAAATTCATCTCCCTGGCCGCGATACGGATTTAATGACGCTGGCTCGCGGTGCAACGCCGAAAATTGAATGCAACTAATACCACTATCTGTCCTACTTCGATAGTGTGGGCTCGTGCACGTGCACGCCGTAGTAACGATGGAATCCCTAAAAAAACAACTAGGAGACATCAATTTCTGCTTTGTCTCTAAATAATAGCGCGTGCCACGCAACCGATCCGCCCGGGTGTTCGATAAATCTGTTACGAACTCCGATACACCGCCGCGTTCTCCTCGCAAATGGCGCGAATAGCGAAAAGATAATCCATATAAATTAGGTTTTCGGGAAATATGGTAGATTGTTTCATTGTTCGTGAGATTCCAGCGAAGCATTAACGTGCGATGAAGTATTGATAGAAATGGAATAGAAAATCAATTTTTATTTTAAGAAATGAAATATGATTCTGTGCCTGAGAGCCAGATTCACTCGAATCTTTTTCTTATTTATTGTGTAGCTTAACCCTTGGATTACCGAATTAATTTTTTTTTTAATTTGTCATTTATCTAGCGATCATCGCGTCTGCAATTAATTCTAAATCGATCTCAAGCTTCGTTCAAGTACTCAAGTGGTTCATATGCGTTTCTCTAGTCACGAAAGGGTTAAATCACTATCTGCGGTTCCAATAAAATAGAGAAAGAACAGTAAGATAGCGTATATAATTCATTTTGCAAAAAAGCAAAGAACGTAGTTGGATCAGTCTGGTTCCGAGGATTTTTGGTTTTCCCCAAAAATACTCAAGCTTTCTTCGAGTTCCACTTATCGCGAAAGGGTTAAACCACTCTCTGCGGTTCCAATAAAATAGAGAAAGAACAGTAAGATAGCGTATATAACTCATTTTGCAAAAAAGCAAAGAACGCAATTAGATCAGTCTGGCTCCGAGGATTTTTGGTTTTCCCCAAAAATACTCAAACTTTCTTCGAGTTCTACTTATCGCGAAAGGGTTAAACCACTCTCTGCGGTTCCAATGAAGTAGAGAAAGAACAGTAAGATAGCGTATATAATTCATTTTGCAAAAAAGCAAAGAACGCAATTAGATCAGTCTGGCTCCGAGGATTTTTGGTTTTTCCCAAAAATACCAGACATTTTCATTCCTTGTGAAAGGTTCTAGCTTGAGTATCAGCGAGAGACGAGTGAATGGGAATTGGAAACCGACAGTTATTCAGAGAGCAGAGGAGGATCGACGGAGCCATGGAAACGTCCAGACATTTCCTTTCTGTGTCTGTCTATCGAAAGGAAGCCTATTATGACACTCGAGCAACAATTAAGGGATATCAATATCTATTTCCACAAAGCAGCCCGAGCTTTTGGTGCGCGGCAATAATTCACTCGGCTGGATCGCCCGTTCACGCTGAATTTCATCTTCGTCTGCGGGCAGAACCGCTCGCAAGTCGATCCACTCGAAACCTCGAGCACGTTCGTATGATCGAGTTTCATAACAATGGCGCAAGCAAAGCCGGCTCCCGGTAAAAGTACAAAATGCCCGGGCATCGAAAAACCGGTCGACTTTGAGCTTTTAATCTGTGGAGGGATGTACCGTCTGGCTTTGATGCCAATCGAACACGCTCAACTTCAGTTTTTCAACCGGTGACAGGCAAGACAGATTCGAAATTGTAGAAAAAAGAGAATCGTTCGATCATTTCCGTCCATTACCGAGCTTTATCGACAAATTAATTATCGACGTTGCGATGATAATTGTAACTCTATTTCACGATCGTCCCCCGGTACAATTTAACATCTGCGAATCCTTCGTTACTCGACTGCGAAGAGGATAATTAACAAGAAGCTGTAAATTATATTATTTATCTTGAACTCGTTGCAGCACAAGAATCGCAGCCAGTGTCTTTAATTAAAAAGATACCCAAGAACTCGATGGAGAAGGTGGATGAAATGAAACTTCGTTACACGATTATCATCACGGTCCGTGTGTTCTGATCTTGTTCATTATCGCGGGGTACCCTCTCCTCCTCGGTACGATTCGAAACGAGCAGAGCAACCTATATTTCCGGCCGATTTCGAAACGTGAAATTACGTTAATGCGGAATATCGTCCGCGCGTATTACAAACGACAATATGCGGCTCTCGTAAAAACGTCACGATGTTGCTGCGACCGCTTCGAGCAATTTTCCAGGCGATTAAACGTATGATTTAAACATTAGCTGTCGTCGATAAACATGTCCCGGTAACGTCTATATTAATATTTCAATCTACACGTCGAATAATTTATTCGATTTATTTATTTTTTCTCTCCGCCTATAAATCCCGCCACGTGTTTCGCTCTAATCGATAGCAATTAATCGCGAATTTATTTGAAGAGTTTTGAGACTTTCACGGCCCGAATCGATAGAGTGGTATTATTTGAGGCTTCCGGGTGTAAGCCGTGCCCAAAAGAATTTACATTCCGACGTTTCGCCAGCATTGCAGCTAGCTCCACCAGGATCTGGAGATGTACTGATAATAGTGTTAGTCTGGGTGTTCATTCCTATAAGCACCTGTATTCCAATGCGACCTGCGACCAATCAGTGTTCAATTGATCGATCGATTAAAAAACGGGATCCACTACTATTATCGGTACGTCTCCAGACCCTGGTGAAGCTAGCTGCGATGCTGGCGAAACGTCGGAATGTAAATTCTTTTCGACACGGCTTACACCCGAATTTATTTGCCCACTTTGTTGCACTCAGTGCGATTAATAACCAACGAAATCCTCGAAAACACATCGTGTAAAAAATTATTTTCAATCGAAATTACACGTTCATGTGAATTCTGTGTCACGTTTGGCGCGATCAGCTTTAACGCTTTAAAAGTTAAGCCGCGGGAAGGGTTCGTTAGAGAGCTCGTGAGCTTATGGTGCTTCGTGCACTCCCTCGTATACTACTAAATCTCTGAAAAGAAAGAAACACGAAGGAGGGTGAATTTGAAAAGATGAAGAAGAAGGGAGATATTAAAAATTCTCGTCGAGGATAAAATGAAACACGCGAAGAAATGTATTTGATAAAAATCTGTACGTTTCCCCGTGATTTGTATACACTGCACTGTTTTCGCGGTACAAACGAATCGTTGTAGAGAAAATGGCGAACATTCGCCGGCCAGGAGGGGACGTGCTAATATTTACCACGAGCTCGATCACGTTGATTCTTCGTCGTTCCTGCGTTCGAGAACAACTCGCCCCAATAAATTGTCTGTACCGTGGCTTGTTTACTCCCGGCCCATTTTTCCTCTCCATCAGACGAGGCTGGTCCCTTTAAAAGCTCCAGCACGAACAGCCCGACGAAGTAGGCGAACTCGACGACGACGATCAGGCTGAAACCGACGAAGATGCCGCAAATACTGCTCGCGTCGCCTGTAAAACGTCCATTAAGTCTCTCTCTCTCTCTCTCTAGTTTCTAAAGAATTAAAATAAGCACTTACAACGGCACGGAAAATACAGGAGAAAACGTGCTCGAGAGAATATTTTAACAATGCTCTTTTCTCCGGCACGTTCTATTAAAAATGTCAACCGTGTGTATTTTATACTTGAAACGCCGCGGTTTCATCGAATTCTCGTCGTCTGAAATGCGTTTAGGAACACAGCGTCGCGATATTATGTCATCGCGCTGCAAAAATTAAAAGAAAAAGTAGAAAGAACGTTCCTTCGTTTTCGCAACACTCCGAGGCACACAGAGACGAAGTGGATTTTCCCTAACGAAAAATGTAAGTCCTTTATCCCGAGTGCATTACACTACTTGTAACCGGTAGCCTGTAGCTCGCGTACATAACACAATGGATCAACTCGGAGCTTTTATTTCTCCGCTGCGTAGGTTAAAGCACGCCGAGAGATTACGTCCTCGCAAGCCCGAGTCCTTCGTTACACAATGAAATCCTCCGTATTTTATGATCTTTGCCTTCGCAAACTTTCCCTCGTGGAGTTTCCTTTTTCGCCCGGCGCACGAGAAATTCCGTCCCGATCCGTTATTTAGCCTCGTTCGAGGCGTTTATCGAACACGGACACCTTGCGCGGAAAAATTTCAATGCAAATCGAAAGCACGGCGGCGAGCTGCTGCATTTGCCGGGAAGGAGGACGAGGATTCTTTGTACGCTTAAGCTTGCACGGTACTCGAAACGAGAGACACGCGATAGCAGATAGGAAGATCGAGGCGATAGGTAAATGAAAAGAAAGGTGATTCTATTTCGAGAAATCTTGGAGGACGATGGAACGAGCACTTTTTTCGTTTATCGATGGATATGCTCTTTTTGGAGGGGAATACGGGTGGAATTGAGGTTTGAACTCACCCATGAGTTCGTACCAGCGATAGATCACGTCTTGTTTCAAGCATACTGTGCCCGGTTGGTTGAAGTACACCGTGAGGATTCCTTGATCTGCGATTTCCACGTCCTTTCTTCAAATATGGAAAATTACAGTGTATTAGAGAACACTGACAAATCGTGGAACAACGTTAGGCTAAATGTATTTACCGTCTGTAAAAGTATGTTGGGACTCGCGCTGGTTTATGACCCGCAGACCGAGAGGTCTGCGGAGAAACCCAGTCCCAACGCCTTGACACCCCCACACGCTAAGGGCTGGGTTAGGTTACCTTGCTCCGTAGAAACCCCCAACCTGTGCCAGGGTTTCCCGGAGGCAAGAGAGGGGCGTCAAGGCACGTACATAAGGACGCGTTAGATAAGAATGGAACAGATTGTATTAGAACGAATTAGGAAGCGTGTAGTTGATAAGGACGGACCAGAAAAGAACGAGGCGTCAAAGACAGACGGGTCGATAAATATTACTTAGACCAAACAGCCCTTACACCATCTTTAACTTTGAGGGAGATTTTCACCCCTTTAATATGGACCATTTAGAATCTCTTTTGGGAACTACTGTATATCGAAGGTTTATCAAAATTTGTGATTGTCGCTTCGTGACGATGTCACACTTTTATTGTTAATGAGAACACTAACAAATCGTGAAACATCACGAAGTGATAATCACAGATTTTGATAAATCTTTGGTATACAGTAATTCTCAAACAAATTCTGAATGGTCCACACTGAAGGGGTGAAAACCTCCCTCAAAGTTGAATATGGTAAATACATTTAGCCTAACATCTCCAAAACTATTAGAGTGATATAAATATTTTTGTATTGTGATACACCAAAGTTTGATCAATTTCGGTGATTACCACTTGCAGAAAATGTGGAAATATTCGCTCACATTAATTTGACGATGTGTTGATTGGATACCAGGTTAGACATGGTAATCTTCGCGTCGTATCTCACGTCGCTGCACTCGGAGTAGCATTTATAGCAATGCAGAATCCTCGAATTGTTCAGGCTCTCGTCGTTGTACAAATCTTCGTGCGGCACCACCGATATCCATCTGGCTGTACCGTTCGGAAAAACAACAACAACAACGTACGATAGAAATTTCGTTGGACTGAATTTTAATCGAATGAAGCGGCGACCGCAAGGAAATACGGATATTATGAGTGTGTGCCGCGTGGTTTGGAATTGATCGCTGGGCAAGTTCATTAATTAATCAGTCCCGTGTGGAGAGAGAGCGTGGCACAATGGTAATTCAGCTGAACAATTCAACGCTGTTTCATGATTTACGTCGCGAGAATTTCGATAGTGCTTACATTTGTGCTGCGACAAGCACGGCACGTCTTCCAAGTTGCAGACCCTCCTGGACTCTGTAAAGCGATAAATAAGCCTGGAACTTCGAAATATTCTTCTTCAACTGCCTTTAATTAAATACAACGATAACCGGCAAAAGTGGGGGCTGGCTTTAATTAATATCAACCGGATCGAGAGATATACATATATAGGTATCGTGACACGTAGAGAGAAGCTTTTAATTAATTTAACCTTACGCAGAAATAATTACAAGGAGGAATGTTTTAACATCGGACATCGTAAAATCGAGGAATCTTGAATAATTCAAGAGCGGAAGGGATCAACGAAAGATTAATAAAAGTGCAGGCGAAGCTGCTTAATGAAACAGTTTTAAAACATGGATAAGTTTCACAGCTCGGGAGGAGGGCAAACGATATTAAAAATAGTGGCTGGGTAACGGTAATCCGACTCGTCTTCGCCTCGTCTCGGTTCAATTATTCATGGAATACCGTTAATAAAGTGGCACGCAACTTAATGAAACAGCTTTAGAACGGAACGATAAGCTTAAGTCCCCTGAATGGGTGAATTAATGATATTAATAGGGGCGTGGGAAGTTTGAAAATCCACCCTCCGGCTGTGGAAAGTTCGAATCGTCTCCGGGTACGACGCCTCGTTAATAAGGCGCGAAACAAATAAAGCGGGAGATGCTTTATTCAAAGATCAGCCGGAGTACAAATATTCCTCAGCTTCTTCCACTTATTCCAAACACGTTTCATACGTTTCATTTATTAGATTAAATAAGTTAAATAAGCTCGTGCCGCGGTACGTTTATACTCCTCGCCGATATCTTTTGTGTTCTGAGTTACGATCGAGAAATGAGACTGTTCGTTCGGACGTGGATACTGTGCTCGGTTGGAAAAATTAAACGGAGATATAAGTGTGAAACGTTCGGCACTCTTAAACCAGAAGCTGAGTAATTTTTCATCGCGATAAATTTGCGTAAAAATTGCGCGAATTTAGTTTGGAGATCTTATCACACCCACCGTGTTCTCGTATCAGAGTATCGCCTGTTTCGTGCATCGCGACACTTTTTAGTGGGCAAAATATTTGACAATATGGAGTCTATAAGAATTAAGATTGAAAAATTTTTTAAACCGAAATATAATAACGAGGTCATAATGCTTTGCCAAAGAAATGGGAAAAAATTGTAAAACGAGATTCTCTCGTAGAATTTAAGAGTATCGATCTAAATTTTATTAAATTAATTTTTGGGCGACTTAATAGTAACGCAACGACTCCGAATGATTGGTAAAAAAGTAGAAGAAGCAAATATTGGAAAAAATGATTGGAAATGGTTGCAGCGTTCCTTTCGCGGCCCGTTTAATTCCGCGCTCGGTGCGATCCGCTTTAACGCTTTAAGCCGCGGCAATCTCGGGAGAAGAAGGGACAGGGAGCTGTTAATGTCTTCCAAAGGCTTCAGACAGTCTACGCCGTCGTGGTTCGTTTCGACGCCTGGGGTGAAAGTGAAAATAGGGGGATGAAGAGCGCGCTTTGAACGTTTCCTTCGCCTCGCGGTGTCGACCTTGTCGCTCTGTCTCTCTGCTCTTAAAACATTACGCGCCGGAATAATGGAGAATGCTGGTGGAGGCGCGATGTTACGTTCGCGATACCACCCGTCCCTTTCTCCACGGTTAGGGGATTAGAATTTGGAACGGAAGTTACGGAACAATTTTCAGTGCCCCGGCACTGTTTCGAACTGTAAATACTACTTAACTAAACCGTGCACAAATGTTTGTCCTCGCAAGCTGATGATTTAACGTTGAATGAAAAACGCTTCTGCGAGATGGCTTGGCTGAGCTCTGCTCCCGTGAATTCGCGTTGATTTACCGCGTGAAAGGGGTAATTCTGTTTTCGTTTGTTGGTAGACAGAAATAATGCAGATGGTAGAATTTTGTCTTCTATTCTCGGATCGAACTGTTTCGACTGAATGCAAAACGAACGCTGTGACGATTTCAATTTTTATCTGTAGGCATTTGGGTCGGTTTATGGCATGACCTCTTGGTCACATAAGAGACGTTTGCCTTTCGTCTTGAGGACACTTCGTGCTTAGCTTTGGAAAGACCTACATGTACGATAGTTTTCGAATAAACCACCTAGCAGCATCCTGAACAAAGTTAATCGCGTTAGACCACCTCCTACAATTATCATCCGCCCGAACCACGTTAATAAACTGGACAAACTGTACAAGTAAGCTGAACACAAAAATTACGACGGCGCCCCTCCCTCCGCGGACATCTTGAGGGTTGGGTCCGGTGCGTTCGTACCGAGATCCCGGGCCCACCCCGCAACGCTGAGGAAGGACCGCCGTGGGGGTTTTAGCCGGTACGAGTCCATCCCGAGGGGAGGGAGCGTCCATGAGGATTTCTCCCACGAAAACAAAAAACCTGAATAAATTTCTTCGCTCCCTTGAATAATGAGAACACCGAATCTTACCTCGATTAGGCAAATAAAAGGGTATGCACCCGCACAGCTTCCACATATCCTCCATCTTACAATCCACGATACAATCGCTGTACGTATAAAAAGCTCGAAGAGTGACCATCTCATCAGCGAACACGCAGTCCCTCTTGTCCACCGGATACGATATAATCCTCCTGCTGCTGTAGAACATGATCGCCTGTATTTCCACGCTCCTGTACATCTTAGGCGAGATCAGTATATCGAGCACACCACCGCTGGTCATGTCCGGATAATCGAACGGATTGAAGATCATCACCTGACCGTAGAAAAAGAAAGAAAAACCATACGAATGATTGCGATATTCAGGAACAACGATCTTAACGCGTTGGCTCGTTCGACAACACGGCGAAATATTTGCACGGTATATTTACGGTGTAGGTGAATCGTTGCTCGCTAGGAAAAACTGCAATTTGCATAATGCACCGATCCCCGGCTGCCGCGCGAGATAATCGTCGCCGTCGACCACGACCTACATTTCCGCCGGCGTGATTACGCCCGGACTCGTTTCTGTCTGATTTCCAGCCGGATTCTGACCGAATTATTTCGGGCCAGATCAAGGGTTTTGCCTCGTTCAAAGCTCGCTTGATAAGGCTCGATATTAATTCGCGAAAGGAAAAATGTGTTGCGATATTTCCGAACGACGAATTTAAGGTGTTTTATGGACTTACTGAAGTTCGAAACGCAAGTGGAATTAGTAAACGATTGACCGGCCATTGAGTTACTTTCGATACGTTCAACCCTTTCGTTCCAAAATTATTCAGCAGCTGGGTGAAATATTTATTCGCGATAAATAAGCAATTCGTGTATACATTTTGACATTTGACAAGTGTTTAATGATCCTTTCCATTGGTCTCCGTTTAATAATTTTTCACGATAATGCAGTTGCACGAGACTTCACATGTAACTGAATTTTAGGTTTCTGAATGAAGTACATTTAGTCAAAATTCGTGCAAAAAAATTGCAAACGTAAAGGGTTGAAAATTCTGTAAATGTCGCGTAAACACGTGAATCCGAGCTGAGATAAAATCAGACAGGCAGAAATTCCGGACGCTAATGTACATTATTTCGGAAAAATCTTTCGAGATAATAACTGGTTGGAAACAGCATCTGAAATTCTACAGAAGCGAACGCAAGGAACCGTCTAGTTGGTGGAATTAAAAATTCCGTAAGCGTTCGGTGGCAGAAGCCAGCTTCAGCTAGCGGCGATGAAAAATTACCTTCCAGCCAGCGCTGGGGAAAATAGGGTAGAAGTAATCGTCGAGAAACGGCTCGAGTAGCACCGTCAGGCCTCCGTCCTCGGTCAATTTTTGCACCTTTATCGGTTCCATTCTGTGATTAATCCCGGTGTCCCTGCGCGGAGATAACACACGCTTAGAAATTCGCCAAGATGAAGGGAAGAAAGAAAAAAGGGGAACGCGTGCTCTCGTGCACGGAATATCGTTATTCGCCGAAATAATTTCCAGCGAGAGATAAGAGAGAGAGCGAGGAAGCAGGAAACGAGGAGAACTTTACACTCGGTCGGTGGTGAAAGATAAATTGCCGCGGCGACGCGACGCAAAACGAATAAATGATTCATCGACGGCGGTGAAACGTTGGATTAGATGGATTTGTAGCTCACAGGGGTGTGTCGTCTCCTTTGATGGCGTAATTGAAGGTGCAACAGAAGCCGTCTTGCGTCTTGCGGAACTGGAATATGTCGGTGCAGTTGCGTTCCGCGCTGTGGAAGTGACACTTCGACAGGATCGAGGAACACTGCGGCGTCAGCTGGAAACGTTGGCGGAACGGATATTGGGTAAACAGTTCGTGGTTCGAACATTTTGTTAATGCCAGGGGGTGGCAAAGAAAAAGGCGGAGAAATTTACATACAGACGGGAATAAACGCGTTGAATTTTCCACTCACCCGTTTCATTACGTCGGTGATGTTATAGTAGCCGTCGTAAAACACCGTGAGAAGTTGGTCGATCCGATAGAAACGTTTCTGCGTTATAAACTCGGAGTCGTAAAGATCGCCCAGTTGCGAGATCATGTCGAGAATCTCGTCGTAGGATAGACGGGAGATATTCGCGGCGAAGCTGCCACCGATATTAATGAAATTAGCTCCGGCAGAAAGGAACGCGGACGGAAAAAGTT